AGGAAGCTACATGCCCTATCCCTGAACCCTCAGCCCACTGGGGTAACCAGCCGCCACCTCGTCTGCTAATCAAGGCCACAGCTGAACTTCTGGCACCATTTCTTGGATGATATTTTCCAGGGAACTGTCAGTTCCCTCCCCTCACCCAACTCCCACCTGGAAACTTTCATCTCCTGATAGACACAATTACATTTTGGATCTCTTTCAGCTGGAAGGGTCTTTCTTGCTTTTCCTTTTGCATGAAAGTGGTGCCCCTTGACCTTGAACCTGCTCTTGAACCCCTGGAGTTGGCTCAATAGAGCCTCACCTCCCATAGTGCTGTCCATGGGGAGCAGACATTGGATTGAAAAGGTCCCCTGCCTCTTGTCCCCTATGGCTAAGAGGAAGGAAGGGAGCAGCCAACTCTGTCTTTGAAACCTCTGTCCCCTACTCCTGCTACTATGGGTCCTGCCATGTGCACTCCATTACACTCAATCTTGTTCTTTTGGGGTCCCCCAAATTCTGCATTCTTTGGGGTGTCATCTAGGTGTCCCTAGCAGAAGGCAGAGGCCGGGGGAGGGGGGTCCATCATTTGAGCTCGGTTGGGTTTTGCCTATAAAAGTTACAGTCTTTTGGAGCACCTGGGCGACTCAGTCATTAAGCGTCTGCCTTCGGCTCAGATCATAATCCCAGGGTCCTGGGATCAAGTTCCACATCTGGCTCCCTGCTCAGCGGGGAGTCTGCTTCTCCCTCTCCCACTCTCCCTGCTTGTGTTCCTTCTCTCCCTGTCTCTCTCTCTCTCTCTCTGTCAAATAAATAAATAAAATCTTTAAAAAATTTTTTAAAATCTTACAGTCTTTTGAGCTGGAGACAGAGCCTGCAGACAGAGCCTGAAATGATTTTACACCCCCCCATTATATGATTGAAAAACACACGTTCCCATGCTGCTGACCACGCACAGAAGGTGGAGCAGTGCCCAGCAGGGGACTCAGTCCCACTGCCTCCCTGGAACCCGCAGAGCAGAGGGCTCGGTGTGTGTAGATACCCAAGGACGCGCTCCCTCGGCAGAAAACTTTCGCTCAGAAGTGGACAGCAAGATTAAACTTTAGTACACAGGAGAAAGTCGAGGCAGGTCCTGGGAGGGTGAGAGCTGTCCAAGGTCCTAGAACAGAGGTCTAGGATTCCGGCGCTGTTGTAGGTGGGAATCCAGAGACTAGAGTTCTGCGCCCGTCCTAGGTCCTGAGGGGCTATGGCCGAGCTACGGCTCACTACCCTCCCCCACATGTGGGAAGTGTCAAGTCTGCCCACAGCAGCCACGGAGCCTTGCTGTCACGGCCGAGCTCACAACTGTGGTGCCCGCTGGGTCCTGGCATGTGTGGCACATTCGGTGGAATCCTTTTACCCGGACCCACTCAGAAGCTGGAGCATTTGTGTTCCAGAGGCTAATCAACCTCTCCTGGGCTGTATTTGCATGCAGGCACGTATTCACAGAGTGTGGGATACCGGTCAAGACTGGGGGGACTGCCAACCAGCTCCGTGCCCTCGTCAGGAAGATGGGCTCAGCTGGAGGGGCCACCTGCCAAGGAAAAGAGCCTGGGGCCTGGCTGGGCTGACTCCCTCCACCCCCACACTCCCCCTACCTGCCCTGCAGTTCTTAAGATGGAATGCCATTTCCTCTGCTTTCCTCTGCCCTTTATCCACTTGTGGTGGTGAATTCACTGTGTCAGCTCAGCTGGGCCATGGTGCCCAGATATTATTCTGGCAGTTTCTGTGGAGGTGGGCTTTGGATGAGATTGACATTTCAATCAGTGGACTCTGAGTAAACCAGATCACTCTTTAGAACATGCTGGGCCTCGTCCAATCGGTTGAAGTCCTAAATAGAAAAAAGACGGACCCATCCTGAGCAAGAAGGAAACACACCAGCAGACCACCTTCAGACTCACACTGCAATGCTCCCCTGAGTCTGTGGGCTGCTGGTCTCCTCCATCTGACTTTGCATTTGCTCAGCCTCTGCCACCATGGACACCAATTCTTTAAAATAAACCTCCCCATGTATATCTCATTGGTTCCATTTCTCTGGAGAACCCTAATATATGGCTTTTGTTCGGGAAAGGAGAGGGGCCAAACATGAAGGAGGGGGCTCCCCTGCCCCATCACTGAGAAGCTGGTGGCATTTATGGATTTGTCCCCAGTGCCTTCCCATTGACTCCGTCCACAGCCCTGGTAACAGACCATTCCTCTGAAGGTCATCTGGTGGGGTAGGGGGTGTCCCTGAGTCACCCCCGGGGCAGGAAGGAGGCTGGGGAGTTCCACGGGGGAGGGAACTGGCAGTTTCGGAATTGTTCCTGCGTGACCACTGGTTGAGCACTTTTATTCCAGAATATATCATCAGACTTCAGTGTATTACCCTCCCTCTCCAAGTTTTTGAAGGTGAGAAAAAAATCTCAGTGTGTTTTCTTCAAGTGCTTGAGAAAATCAGCAAGTGCATTGGGAAAGGACCCTAATTATAATTTCTGACTTTATACACTTTAATGTTTGACTAAAGCCTTTGATTGTGGAGAGACGCTGCAAATAGGCCCCCCATTTCTGAGACCAACAAAGAGACGGAAAGGAAGCTGTAATCGTTGTGCTATGATTGATCTATCCCCCGTCCCTCGTGAGGGAGGACAATGACCCAGAACCTGACCTAAGATAAGCATTAACTACACCTTCCCAAGGCACGAGGTGCTTGACTTAGCAGCCCAGGCTCCAGGCCAATCAAGGCTCATCCTAATGACGTCACAGTCAACAATCAGCTCGTGTTCGGCAGTGGGTTCTATTTTTTCCATGTGCACACACAAGCCTGGCACAGTGACAGAGAAAGGGAGTTTAAGGAACAGAAAAATACATTTTAGGAGGGTAGTTACATTGACCAAAACGGGAGAAGGGCACATCTAAACAACCGTCCAGTTTGGAAATGCTGCCCACTGGTCTGCACATATACTACCTGATTTTTTTCCTGCAGAGGAGAACGCGGTTTCCGTCTGGGTTTACGGTCGCTATCAGTTTCGAGGCAAGGCTCGAAAAGTCACATTGGATGGCAATCTGGAGCTTTCCTAGCAAGGCTGAATCACTAGAGTTGGGGGCGGGTGTGTGGAAGAGGTTGGCTTGGGGATCATTTGGACCAAGCCCCTCAGAGCAGATGGGGTTGCCCAAGGATCCATGTTCAGATGGTGGCTGAATGGGGACCACAATTGTCTTCTCGAATCTTCCCCTCTACTGTGCTGTGAGCAAGTGGAACAGTCCAGCTACAAAGTGACCTGCCTATACCTGCTAGTTGCATGCCTGTCCCCCCACCCCCAAGTTCTATGTTGAGCCCCTCACCTCCAGAACCTGGGAATGTGACCGTGTTTGGAGACAGGGCCTTTAAACAGGGGATGAAGTTCAAATCAGGCTCTGAGGACGGGCTCTAATTCAATCTGACTGGTGTCCTGCTGAGAGGGAATGTGGACACCAGGGGTGGACACACAAGCACGGAAAAGACTGTGGGAAGATATGCTGAGAAGATAGCCGCCATCTGCAAGCCAAGGAGAGGTCTCAGAAGACAGCCGATCTGCTGCCATCCTGATCTCGGACTTCTGGTCTCCGGCACCGTGAAAGCCTGGCCTTGTTTTGCTACTCACAACCTCAAAACCGGAAATGCACAAACTGAGAGGGAGCCTGGAGAACTTGGGCGGCGGGGAGGCGGGGGGTGGTGGTGGTGGTGGTGGTGGTGGTGGTCACGTCCTGCCCTGGGCCTTCCACTGATCCCTCCACCCCTGGCCCCTGTGGACTTCATGCAAGGTGCTTGGTACCTCCCAGCTACTAGGAAAATGGGCATCACCCTGCCTCACCTTCTGGAAGGATCTGGCTGCCTCCATATGTCCCCAGTCCGGGAAGCGGATAGCGCCCTGTGTTAGGATTAAATGACAACCCCCATATATTCACGGGCACCCACAGGAGAGCCCCTAGATCTTTCCAAGGCTGGCTTTTTTTTACTCAAAATGCACCAAGTGTCGCCAAATCTAGCTCCAAATCCCGGGCAGCCTCTTTAAAAGCTGCCTTCTACTTATGTGGTATAGATGTGTATCTACATGGTCAGAGTTTAGGGCCTTGGACCGGAAATACTGCCCATGTGAGCAGGGACAGTATCCCCAGGGCCTCATAATACTAACAGTGCCTGATAATACTAACGGGGACCTGCCAAAATCTGACGTTCTCCTTGTTAGAGTCACTTCTTGGGTTAAGGCATTAAGGACCCCTGTTAAGTATGTTATAGGGGGCCATACATATTAAGACATCATCAGCCATTAACACCTCTTTGTGACTTCATCAGAGTGGCCTCAGACCCACTCTTTCACCCTTAGGGTCCAAGACCCCAGGCAGCTGAGTCCTGGTGGAAAGAAAGGAGGGATGATTCAGAGCCTATTGGGCGGAGAGGGAGATGGAGAGCACAGAAAGGTGTGCTGTGCGGACGGGGGTGGGTAACCAAAAAAGATAAAGGATTTCACAAGGAACGCTGCCTGGCAATTCTGAACCAGCTGGACCTCCATAGGAGAGTCCCCTTTTTGGCCTGATGGCCCAGATCATGAACAGGAAGGCCAGGCTAGTTGGTAGGCACACAAGTCCTACTGGGTGTGTGTAGGGAACTTGGCCTGCGGCCATGAAGTTGGGCGCTTAGGGACAATTACACAGCTGGAACGGCCACCTCTCCCGGGAAAGGGGAGAGCAATGGGAGTGATTGGCACTCAGGAGGCGGGGCTACGCTCGCGCTCTCGGCCAATCAGCTTGCCCTCTGGTTCCGGACGCGCACGACACCCAGCCTGGGGCAGTTGGAGCTACTCTTGGGGGGAAGATGTGGAGACAACATGGGTCGAGTGACAACAGCAAAGCGTGGGGGCAGCCTGGGCCTGTCAACCAAGGGCCTGGGGCTGCCAGGCCATCGGGGGAGCACGGGAAGGGCTCTCTGGCTGTCCACCGTCCAGGGAGGGAGGCGGTGAGGCTCAGCAGGGGGACGAGGACATCTGGTCGTAGTCGGGGCACTTGAGCAGGGCTGGGTAGTTGCTGTTCATCTGCAGGGAGGCGTCGCTGGAGATGTCGGAGGGGCTGCGGCCCCGGACCCAGGCGTCTGGGTGTAGGAACTGGCCTGAGTAATCGGAGCAGTTGCTCAGACGAGGCCGGTAGAAGCCGGGGTGCGGCCGGTACATGTCCTCGGCGGTGTACCGCTTCATGAACAGGTACACGGACATCACTCCGGCGCTCTGCCGGGAGGAGGGGGCAGAGCGCTCACTGCCGGGGGCCTGGCCTTGCTCTCCGGCTGGGGCTGGGGTCTGCAGGGGGGGGCGGCCACCAGAGCCGCTGGAGCGGGGAGGGGACGGGGACAGTGGTGGGACAGAGCAGGGGTGCCCGGGAGGAGCCCCCACCCCGACCCCCGGAAGGTGGGAGAGTTACACCTTGTGGGGAGGAAGAAGGGCAGCAGAGTGGGTGAGGCCGGGGTGCTTGTCCAGACCCTGCTCCCCCTGGGCAGTGCCCCGCCCCCACCCCACCTGTGGGGAGGTTTACCTCGGTCAAAAGGAAAGAGATGGCCGCAAAGGCAAACGACCAGCCGTACTTGTAGTTGAAATAGGTCTCTGCGTCCTTGGTCCTGTTGAGCATCTCGTCGTTGATGCTGGAGATATAGAGGACCAGGCCCACCACCAGAGAGAGGCCTGTGGCAAGGCAAGGGGGTGCTTGGTGAGCAGGCCCCGGGGGTTTGCTGATGGGGCACCCACCTCCCCTTGGGGTTCAGGCAATAAGGCTCTCATCTGGGGCTTGAAGGAGAGCAGGTACTGTCCTCCTAAAGACCTTGTTTGGACCATTACCCCCTGAAAGCAGAGAGCTGCGGGGAAAAAGCCCCCTGTCCAGCCACCTTCTGAGCCACGGAAGCCCCACGGCTCTCACCTCACCTGTCCACGGGAATCACCTGTCTGGTATACTTGCCTGAGCCCCGTGCCAGACCTTCTGGGTCACTTGGCCTGGGCGGCGGCCCTGACACTGTGCCATCCTCAAAGCTCCCAGCTGATGCTGAGGGGAACTAAGGGTGCGTCCACTGAGCCAGCAAGTGGCTTTTGCTAAACTGAGGAATAAGACAGGCTCCCCTGACAGAGGCAGCCAGGGACTCCGATCCCTAGCTCCCTAACATCCTTGCGGGAACTCAGTGCCCCATGATCTTCACAGCCCCGCCAACGACATCAGTGACACAATGAGATCCTGAGGCAGGAGGGGTAAAGCGATTTTGTCCAGGTTTTGGCAAGCGATAAATCAAGAGGCCAGTGGGGACCAAACTTCTGCTCCATTGTGCAAGGGACAGCCTCAGGCACCGGACCCTCGGTTAGTTACTGTCACCGAATCAGGACATAATTAATTACTCTGTTTTGAGTTGCTCAGGCTTAATTCCACTCACATGATTAAACTAGGGCATCTTGAAGGAGGAACATTAAAGGAAAAGAGGTGTGATTCAGGCCTTCCTTGGCCTTTAACTCAGGCTGGAATCACTGCTGGCCCAAGGGAAGCTTCTCTGTTGTTATTAAAACAACTTTGTGTGGCCCCATTCATTCAGAGATTTCTGATCCTGTTGCCCGCTGCTGGAAAGGCTTCAGGGGCCTCAAAGCTACTATAGGGCCTTGACTCTTGTGACGCTCATAGAAAGATAAAGGAAAAGTCTAACCCCTGAGTCTGTACCTCTTGGACTAGGTGGAAATATCACCATGCAGAAGACAGGCTGAGGACACTGCGGGTGCCCAGTAAGTATTTGTGGGACTGATGGGTGGGAGGGGGGATGAGCGGATTAACAGATGGAAGAATGGGGGGAAGAGGGGTGGGTCGGTTGAAAAAAAGATGGACAGGATGGACAGATGAAGGGAAGAAAGGATGGAGAAAGAAGTTAAAGGGAAGAAAGAAGGAAGGGAAGGGAAGAAAGGAGGAAGGAAAGGGAAGGGAAGAGAAGGGAGGGTAAAGGAGGAAGGAAGGAGGGAAGGAGGAGGCTATACTGATAAGAAAATAATGAGAAAAGGAACCTAAACTGGCTTGGGAGTCAGGTGGCAATCAGAATACCTGGTGACAAGAGCTCTTTTACTCCCTTCCCTCCCTCCCTCCCTCCCTCCCCTTCTTCTTTCTTCCCTCTATCCGTCCACCCACCCACCATCCATTCATCCATCCATCTACCCACCCATCCATCCACCTACCCACCATCCATCCACCCATCCATCCATCTACCCATCCATCCATCCATCCACCCACCATCCATTCGTCTACCCAACAATCCATCCACCCATCCATCCACCCACCCAACCATCCATCCACCATCCATCCATCCATCCGTCTACCCAACCATCCATCCACCTACCCAACCATCCATCCACCTATTATTCAGGCCATCTACCTACCCATCTTCCATCTTCCATCTACTCCCGAGGCCCTCCCTTGTCTGAAGTACTGTCTCCAAAAGAAAAGGTCCTCGTGAAAACGTACAGGTCACCTTAAAGGGGAGAAAGAGCCTACCTTTCTTTCCCACATTCTCTTGCCTTCTCACTCGGAGCACTCCCCATGAATAACCACATCCCTACCCATGGTTCCCTCTCCTACTTCCCACGCCGTTAGCTCCTAATCTCTATTTTGGGTTCAGGCCCCTTCCACGAACCTCTGACCCCTAGCAGCCTTTGGGACTCCTCCTCCTAGATGTTACATGGACACCTCAAACCCAGCATTTCCCACACTAAACTCATGAACTTGGCCCAAATTTGCTGCGTCTCCTGTGGTCTCTAGATCAAGCATGGGTATGCCATCCACCCACTGCTCAAGCAAGAACTTGGCACCATCCTTGACTCTTCTCTTGAAAGCCTAGTCCTTGTCCCGTTGAGTTGATCCCCAAATGTCACCCTGAATCCTGTCATTTCTCTCACCTATCATCCCCTTAGTGTCGGCCACCATCCCCTCTCTCCTGTGCACTGAAATAGCCCCACACCTGCTCTCCCTGCCCCTGTCTTGCTCCCATCCTTCCCTCTATTCCCATTCTAAAATCCCTAAATATGACCATATCGTCATCCCTCAACTCAAAGTGCTTCTGAGGTTTCTCACAATGTCCAAAATCCATAAGGCATCATTAGACGTCTTCCCGTCTCCCCTCTTGCTACATTCCACCTTCCATTCTCACCATAACGAGCAATGAACTCCCCAATGCTCCAGCCCCTCTTTCCTCCAGGCTCCCTTTCCAAACCCACCTGCAACCTCATTCCTTTACCTATTTCTTCGTCGTCCTTCAGCTCCCCTTCTGGTGGTCTTCCCTGAACAACCCTTGGTCTGAGTTTCAGTCACTGCTCTCAGCCCCCATAGCAGTCCTGGCTTGTCCTGCTGTGTTCATATTTATGTCTACTTATTTCTATCTCTCACTCTGCTGACCTTTTTGTGGGCAGTGATGGCAGCACTCAGAATAAGAAGGCCTGGTAGAAAGAAAGAAAGAAGAAAGAGAGGAAAGAGGAGAAAGAAAGAAAGAAAAAGAAAAGAAAAGAAAAGAAAAAAGAAAGAAAAGAGAAAAGAAAAAACAAGACAAGACAGACAAGCTCGTGTCTTTCCAGGAAGAGAGATCCGTGTTTAAGGGACCTGGGTATGGACATTGACTGGAACGTGAAAGGGGACAGTACGAGTCTCCTGATGACAGCTGAGGTCTGGGAGTGAGGGGGCCATGATTCCAAAGGCAGATTGTACTTACCTTTCATGCAAAATCAGGAAGAAATAGCCCCTTCAAAAATAAGAATGCTCATTATTGGTGGAACTAAGAAGGCAGAGGTGGCGACAAATGGGCAGTGAGGAGAGAGCCCCAGGTTGCAATCGCAGCTCTGCCCCAGGTGAGCCTGGCAGGTCTCTCCTCCTCCAGGGGTCATGGATGGGCTCGAGGCCATCAGAGGTCCCCCTCACTGACCCAGTTCTGTCCGAGGCTCTGACTCAGCCACCCTGGTGCCAGGGGCTGGGCCACAGCTGTGATCACACTTCCCAGAGCAGAGCCACGAAGGAGTCAAACGTCGGGAGTTGTGAGTGCACGGAAAAAAACCGTACAACTTACCTGAGAGGATGAAGAAGATGCCGGAGACAAAGGCAAGTATTGTCCTGTGGGGACGGATGTGTCCGATGTTGCTCAGGATAAACCCAATGAACATGAAGAAGAGGCTGACCAGGGGGAATGGTGTGGCCGAGCGAATCATTTCTGATTAAGGGGACAAGAGGACACTGTTGGCCTCCCAGGGCTTTACCTACTTACCTCCCCTCCCAGGTGTTCCTGACAGTGTCTGCCATCTGGTCCCCCAGTCCCCCTGGCCTGCATGAGCATGAGTTCTCTGGGTTCCCTCCCCTTCTTGAGTGGTCCAGGGATCTCCCAGCACTGGCAGGGTTTGTGTCCCTGAGGCAGGGCTGGGAGGTCTGACTTCAAGGGCCAACATGCTTCTGTCTTCTCTTCCAGCACAAAATGCTCCCTCCTGGGCATCCAATATGGCAGCCATGGAAGGGCTGGTCACGCGTCTCACTTCCTGTCTTGGAGGCGTGAACCCTCGCCATGCACACAGGCATCTCTCTCTGAGGGTCATAAGAGACAGTTCCTGGCCTCTGTTGTCTTCAACTTATAATTACTTGGGGAACGGTCTGCATAATTGTATCTCGTCTTTGTCCTCCCTGGAGTTTCCCAAGTGAGAAGAGTGTCTTCAATATTCATGGCGGGCCCCTTGATAACACCTGAGATTTTTCCAATCAGTTGACTCAGGACAGGGGCTGGAAAGACCAACCACGTGATTAGAATGTGGGGTTTTGAGCCACGTGATCCAGGCCTGACTCTGGGAAGAGGACGGGGTCTGGAGACTGTGTTCAGTCATGGGCTCACTCGATCACGCCTCCGTAATGAAGCCCAGTAAAAACTCGGCAGCAAAACCTGGCTGGGGTTCCTGGTTAGTGAACACATCCATGTGTCAGGGTGGCGACTGTCCTGATTTCAAGGAGAGAAGACATGGAGGCTCAACCCTCAGTGCCCTCCCAGATCTGGCCCTATGTGCCTCTTTATCTGAGCTCTTGCTAGTAAAACCGTGATGAGAAGTATAGTGTTTTCCGGAGTTCTGTGACTTATTCTAGCCATGTTTTGAACCTGAGGGTGATCACAGGAACCTTGCTTCTTCCCTCTGCCCTGCTCTGCTCCATCCAGCCAGGGAGCCAGGTCAGAAAGTCTGAGACACCTACTTAGAACATTGACGGTGGACTCCGAGGTCAGCTGGGAGTTCATGGGCATCACGTATTCTATGGTGAAGCAACGTCCCCGCTCTTCCCCTGGGAAGACAAGAATCATTTCCATTTCCGCGTGATTCTTGAACGTGGATTTGAAGTTAATACGTTCAAATGGTATTCCCAAATGCTCCGGGGAGTCTCTGCCCCACTGGGTTTGCACCTGGGCTGGATCTAAACCTAGGGGGCCCCATCCCTGGCTAGTGACCTGCAGTAGGGGTAGGGGCACCTCCTGACGTCCCATCCTTCCTAGAGAAGCAGCCCCATGAAAGTGGACCCAAGCACCAAGAGTCATACGAAACACAGTCCGCACTGCAAACTTGAGGTTGAGGGACACATCTGACGGCCGTCTTGTTGCTCTGGGGCAGACTCAGCTGATGACGGTGCATGGCGGGCTTTGATGGACCAGACCCCCCTCCCCACCGCAAAGCCTTGTCAATCATTTCAGAAGCCAGATCCTAGTGACTTCAAATTCTCCTTCAGACTTAAGTGGAGACTGGTGCCACATAGTTTAGGGCCATGGGAAGTGAGGTCAAGGTCGGATGCTATTTCCAACATAGGCCAACGAGTCACCAGGAGGCCAGGCCTTGAGGTGTGTTCCCTGCTGAATACCGCTGGGCGCCAATCACCACCCTCATTCTCCAAAGCCCCACTATAAAGCTGGGAGGATCACTGGTTCCCTCTGCCCTGTCTGTGTGCATGGAAGGTGACAGGACCCTTCTAGAAAGGCTCAGTGATCACCCTGGGGGGTGGTTCCAGCCAGCTCAGGCTGGCAACCAGTCCTGCAGGACGTGGAGATGTTCGTCTTGTGCAGAACCCAGCTGGTTCTGGGCCATGATAAAGGGATAAAGACAAAGTGTTTAGAAGAGCAACTCAAGGGTTCTAGAGAAGTCCTCAAGAGCTGGAGAGAGGCCCAGATAGGTGGGAGCAAAACCCGAACCAGCTGGCGGATTTGGAAGGACCTGCATCTGGGTTTTCTCCTCCTCATTTCACAGACTTGGAACAGGGCAACTGTCCGGTATTTCCCATTCTGTAAACCAGTGGACCTGTGACATCGAGTCAGGAAGACTTGCTGCATCTTCATTTGCTTATTTGTGAAGTGGAAATAAGTTCTGCCTTGGAGTTTTGTGGGGAAGCACTGGGATCGATAATTCCACAAGCTGAGGCACGCAAGGGCAGTGCCAGACCTGTGGGAGGCCAGCCCCGTTCCGCCTGGGAGGCAGAGTGTGGGGAAGGGTGGGGAAGACATGGCTACATTCATCTCTCAGGTCGGGGGCTGGGGACACAGGTCCCAGGGGATGACAGGACCTGCTCCAGTGGACACTGTGACTCAGGGCTTGAGTTTGGAATGGGCCCTGGTCACTGCAGGGAGCCCCACCCAGAATTCACGAAGTCCGTCCCCGAGGAACTTCCCCCTTCCAGTGGGCATCTCTTCCCAGCTGTCGGGGGAGTGGGAGGGGGTGGGGAAGCTCTTGGGCAGGTTTTCCTGGGGTGGGGGCAGAGGCTGCTCCTCTCTCTGGGGCAGGGCCGTCCCAACCTGGGGTGTGCTTACCTGCTATGAAGCAGACACGCCACAGGCCCGAGTGCAGGGACATCTTGATCTCCATGCTCTGGTTCTGGGGCAGGACCACGCCCTCCTCCAGGTAGAGCCAGTAGTCGGTGCTGACGGCGATGCCCAGGAGCCCCAGGCCACAGACGGCAAAGACGCTGCTCAGCAGGGTCAGGGCCTTCCTCCCGCAGCCACTCATCTTCCCAGAGGTCGCCGGGTGGCCTGCGGCCAAGGAAGCGGGCTCTGGAAGCAGGAGAGGGAGGGAGCTGACCGTAGCAGCCACAGCTCTGAGGAGGCCAAGATGTGGGGCCTGGGGGAGGAAACTCAAGTCAACCCCGTCTGGGTAACCGGACGAACAAAGACCCACAGGCCACTATGGGGGTGCTTCCTCTCTCCCCCTCAGGAATTCACAGCTTCCTGGACAGGCTACTTCAGGGGTCTCCCTTTCCTCTCTGGGAGTGCTCGCTCATGTGCAGCAACGCACTCCATCCACACGGAAGACAAGAGAAGCAACACTTTCCTTGCCCTCAAAGGGTTCCCATTAGAAGGACAAGGTACCCCCAGCACAACTGAAAAATGCAGCTTGAGATCTCCCCAACAGCCTGAGGAGAAACGGAGGCATGAACTCTGCTGGGGTGGACTTCTCTGTGTTAAGAAGGACTCTGAGGTTCAAACACACCTCGACAGAGAGCATCAGGATCCAGAAGGGGAGGCAGCAGCAGTCTGAAGAGAAGAGAGAGGGGCAGAGAAGGCCCCTTGGAAAGGTGTCTTCCTCACAGACTCTAATCAGTTCTGGATCATCCCCAGCCAAGAAGCCACACCACAGTCCAAACCCAGGGGGCCTCTAGAACCAGCAGACCTGGCCGGCTTGGCTGAGGGATTCTGGGGCAGTTGGCCTGGGGTGGGGGCGGTAGGGGCAGCCTTCAGGTGCTGTCCGCCGCCGCTCTATCATGCGGCCCACGTGGAGAAAGACTGATCTTTGCTCCTCCGAGTGTGACCCATGGACCGGCAGCATCGGCCTCACCCCAGAGCTTGTCAGAAAGTCAGAATCCAGGACCTTCCACCTTTCTAAACCAGAACCTGCATTTTAACAGCATCCAGGTGAGCTGCGGATCTGCGGAAGTCTGCGAGGCTCTGTGCCAAGCAAAGAGGCAGCACGCTACGGAGCAGTAAAGGTCATGATGGGGGGCGCCCCGGAGAGGGTCACCTAGGGGGCTGCAGGGGTCAGGCAGAGCCATTTCTAGAAAGGAGGGTGGCGGGCAGGGCCAGTCGGCTGAGACGCAGGGACCTCCCCCGCTGAGCCCGCTGAAAGGGGACAGAACCTGCGCTCAGGTCAGGAGGCTTGACTTGTCCAGGGAAGTCTGTGCCTGCTGTGGGAGCGGGGTGAAGGAAGAAGTGGGGGAGAATGGGTGCTCTTCGCCCCAAGGCAGGGATGAACTGACCCCAGCTCCTTAGCCCCGGCTCTGCCCTAGCAGCTGACTGTGGGAGAGTTGACTCAGCTACGGAATGAGCCCCACGCTGCTTTCCTGGAGGCCTGGGTGAGAGCCTGGGAGAAGGGCTCCCGTCCCTGAGGCTGCAGAGCGTTGTCCTTCCTGAATCGGCTTTGACAAAGGAGGGAAGAATAAAGTCCCAAACAGCCAGCCCCACCAGCAAGCCAAGTTGTTGTCCGCACGCCGTGGGGTGGGAGATGGAGCAGGACGGCTTGGCTCCCTACTGGGTTATAGGCGCCTAATAAAGCACCTGCTTTGTGTAGGGGGCCCTGTGCTTCCGTACTCGGTGCTGTGGACAAGGCAGAGGAAGCAGGGACCGTAGCTTGCAGAGTTTATGAGCTGGAAAAGGAGGAAACAGCAGCCTCATGACTAGGACCCCAGGGAAGGGGCTGGCAGGACTGCCAGGATGGGTGGTGATACGGTAATGACAACTGAGACTTTAGTACATACACTTTGTGGTCCTTGCACTCACTTCTGAGACTCATAAAACCCCAATCTGCCAGAGGGAAGGGAATTAGAAGCCAGGGGTGGTTGGGGGGTAAGGGAAGGAGAGGAGAACAAAGGGATTCGATCCCCAATGAGAATAAGAGCTCTGTACATTGCGAGGAGCCCTGAAGTGAGAGGTGGGGCACCTGGACACAGCCCGGTCACTAACTAGCTGTGTCATGCTGAAACAGTAACTTTTCAGAGGGCCATTTTTTTTCTCTAAGAGAATAACAATAAAAGCCAAAGTGTATTGAATGTTCTTCATTGTTAGGTACCCTGCTAAGCACTTGACTCTCTCTTTTAATCCTTATAGCTGTGTTACCATCCCCATTTTATAGGTGAGCAAACTGAGGATCAGAGAGGTTAAGAAACTTGCCTGAGATCGCTCAGCTAACAAGTGGTGGTGCCTGTCTTTACACTTCACTTTGCCTCATTCCTGAAACCTTTCCTGTGCCACCGCTAGGAGTGTTTTCCAAAGTGGGTTCTGTGGAGCATTATTCTAGTAAAAAAGACTCCAGTGGGGGAAAAGCATGGGAAGCACCGCACCTAGGTCTGGAAGAATCACGCTGCCTGTTAATGTTACAGGACTGAAAAGCTTGTGCAGTTTAGCTCATTTTGGTGTTTTCCAAACTCTTGTGTCCACAAAATGGCGTCTGTTTCCATGGCACCCACTTTGGGAACGCTGCTGCCCCCCATGAAGAACGCTAAGCTCTCACCCCATCACTCCAGGAAATTGCTGGGGGATTAAATGCAGCACAGAATTAGCGTCACACGGCAGTGGGGTAACCAGCCCCCGTCCTTGCAGGGGGCACAGATCAGGGCTTCAGAAACATGACAGCCAGCGCCTCGCTGGGGCTGAACAGCCAATTTTAACAGTAAGCTTGGCAGAGAGACAAAAAAAAGATTCAGATCTGAGAGATCTAGGAAGGGGAGGGTAGGGAAGAGATGGAGCTGAAGCCGTACATGCAGGAGAAAAAGGAAGAGGCAGAGGCTGACCCACTAGCCACACATGCAGGAGCAGATCGCGAAGCCTGGGGTGAGCTTGGGCAAAGGGACAAGACCCTTTGAGAGTGTGTAACAAATCCATGCAACGTGGCACAGAGCGAGAAACGGTCCTCTTACTTATCACACAGTTGTATTTGCGCTTCTATTACGAGATCGCATTTTTGTACAAATAAATACCATGGGCTGAGGGCTGAAAAGCCCTTTGTGCACAGTACCTCATTGGGACCTCACGACAACCCCGTGAGTAGTAGGTGGTGTATGCCCCCATTTCATGGATGGGGAAACTGAGGCTCAGATATGTAATGCAGCCTACAGGACCTCACAGGTGGTTGACACCTGTGACCTGAGATTGATTTAAATTTAGGTCTAATTCCCAAGTCTATGCTCTGGCTACATCATCTCCCTGCTGCAGAAATAAACAGGTTCAAGAAACTTGGGGTTATGGTCCCTGGGTGGCTCAGTAGGTTAAGCCTCTGCCTTCAGCTCAGGTCATGATCTCAAGGTCCTGGGATTGAGCCCCGCACCGGGCTCTCTCTGTTCAGCAGGGAGCCTGCTTCCTCCCCTCTCTCTGCCTGCCTCTCTGCCTACTTGTGATCCTCACTCTGTATCAAATAAATAAATAAAATCTTAAAAAAAAAACAAAAAGAAACGAAACTTGGGGTGAAAAGTCACATCCAGAGCAGGTCCCTGGGGAATCTAGAAATGGACACAACGCAGTGTCTCAGAAGCTTGTCTTTGGAAATAGCCAAACGTTACATGAAGGCTGACACTCCTGGGTTTTCTTTGGGGGAGTCAGCCGGCATATCTGCTCATATTGAGAGGCGAACTCTCACCCAGCATTTCTGATTCCCCAAAACCTCCTTTCAGGGCGGGAAGACTAACGCTTTCCTCAAAGCACGCTTAAGAAAACCAGGGTCCAGAGGAGACATTTACCTGAGATCGCACGGCCCGTTCCGTGGAGGGACAAGAGTGTGAACTGGAAATCTGAGTGCTGATGCAGTGCTTTTCTCTCCGTGCTGTACGGGTTGGACTCGGGCACTCGCCGGCTCTGAAAGCACCGCCACCGATCGATCCCGTCTAATTCTGAGCCGGTCTCGCCTATGACTGCGCGTGCGCACAACTTCTTCCAGGCAGGGTCTTCAGTGGGCGGGGCAGAGGTCTCCCCAAGACTCTCCGGTCCGGAATGAATTCCTAGTTCCCGCACATTCTTTGCTTTTCCGCGGCCTTTTTTCCTTCTCACGAATCCTCTCCCTTGGCGGCAACATCCAGTTGATTTTTTTGCTGGGGGAGGCAAACCTTTTTTTGGTAAGTTGCTACCACCAGACAAGACATTTATGCTATGATATTAAATGAATAAAGCTGGAGGTGAAACCCCGCGTTTGCCAGGAGATCAACAATTTCATAGGCTGGGAAGGAATAAACCAAAACGTTGATGGTGGATATTTCCAGGTTCTAAGGTTACGTGTATTGGATTTTCTTTACACTGTTCTGGGCTCGACAAAGCTTCTAAAAAAAAACCAAAACCAAAACCAAACCAAAACAAAACAAAAAACCACTCATATATCCAGAGAAGAAAACTAAAGATCAGAGTCATCAATCGTCTGATCACTGCCCTTGTAAACAGCAATGGAAAGGCCCCAGTTAATTTCTGGGCTAGAGATGCCAAAATGCAGTGTCTTCCCTTGGAGCGTGGGGCTCAGAAGCACAGCAGCTTCGAGCCTATAAGATGATTGTCCTGGTGCCATTATCTCTAAGAATTAGCTTGTTAATTATCAGGAATTAACAGTCGCTAATTATCATCTGTGACTAGCAATTAGGGAGAAATGTCTCGTGGAGATTAAATCAGTAATGGCACATCTCTCTGCCCAAGCTGATAGCGAAGGCTTAGGTGCTCAGAGACAGGTGAGCTTAAGGGCACAAGTGAGAGCCCAGCTGGAGAACTGGGAGTGTGTCCGGCAGGGTGGACGGGGTTTAACTGGGGAGGAGAAAATATATGGAAGGAGACTCCAATGCAGACATCCTGATCTCAGTTTCCCACGAACACAGAGAAAATCCAGTAGTGCTTGATGAAGGGTTGGGGGTGTGGGGGTTCTCGACAGGGCTCCCGGGGAATAACAGCAGCTGCTCCTGTGGGTGGGGCTGGGTAGCTCAGCGTCAGCTTGGCCCACACCCAGCAGAATGAGCTGGTGACTCGGGGACAGCCCCCAGTGGCCCTGTGGCTCTGCTTGCTTCCCCTCGTACTGATCCCCCATTACATTCTATGGTGGCGAAAAAGCG